TAAAAATTATGATAAAAATTATGATAAAAATTATGATAAAAATTATGATAAAAATTATGATAAAAATTATGATAAAAATTATGATAAAAATTATGATAAAAATTATGATAAAAATTATGATAAAAATTATGATAAAATTATGATAATGATGATAATACTGTAAATACCTTTAGTCGTCGATCCAATTCTGGAGGTACAGGAAATCCATAACGACTTAGTTTAATTGATGGCTCAAAAAGTCGTTTCCACGGTAATTTTCCATATCTAAAATTATTATTAAGTTGTTAAAAATATTTATTTTGATATTTAGTGTGCAAAATTACCCTTATTGAAAAAATAATTACTTTTCATGTACAAGTTTCATTCCACGAACTTCACCGCTATATAAAATCGATTGTTAAATAGTCTTTTTTTTAAAATATATAAAAAAAGGATTTAAATCACTCACGGGACGCCAACAGCGAGCCCACCGATCGCAGACCAAGTATGATTCTTTTTATACATATCAGCTCTAGCAGCTTTTGGAGCAGTTTCCCGGGAATCAATAAATTCAGCAGTTCCATTAGGTAAACGGATCATCATTAAGCTACCACTAAAAACAAGACAACGACAACGACAATAAATAAACCTTCAAAAAGAAAAGTAAATATATTACGTAAACAGGTCATACCCTCCAATTCCAGCAGAAAATGCATTGATTGTACCGATACATATTTGAGTTGCAATCGCGGCATCAACAGCTGATCCGCCCTCTTTCAGAACTATAATTTATAAAGGTCAATAATATAAGAAAACCAAGTATAATGTTAAAAAAAAGATTAAAATGCAAAATTAAATACCATCAATTCCAATAACAGAACAATTCACTAATTCGGAAGCAACGGCACCATGAGTAGCGACAATAAGATCAGAATCGCCAATTATACCATCGATGTCTAATGCAGATTAGAACACAAGTAGAGGGCACAATCTTTAGATGAAATTTTAAATAGAACAAGAGTATATCCACTTTTATTGCTAAATTGTTATGACTTTCTTTAAATTCCAAATTATTATTGTTTTAAAGAAGTTATAACTGTTTGAAGTATATAAATTTGCATCGATTCATCATGGACCTTATGAGGGCCGATTTACAGCTGTTTTTATAAACTCTAGTTCAGTTCATTATGAAAAATTTTCTGATTACCAAATCAGTCTATTGCTGACATCAAGAATTCTCGATTCGTTTATCGACAATTTTCCCAAAATTTATGAAAGCAACTGTAATAAAATTTACTGTTTTTGTTCAATCTCAAAACAGTCCTTTTAGAAAATGCAAGTACCACAGGGGTAGTTATGAGGATCCGAAGTTTGATTCATATCTAATGATTATGAATGTTAAATGGACGGTACTCTGCCTGATCCTTAAAGGTCAATATAGAACATATTTGAAATCAAAGGGCTTAATGAGATCGGACTAGTTCTTGACTAATCCTATCAACATTATCAATATTATCAATATTATCAATATTATCAATATTATCAATAGGGCCCTATTCAAAAGCAATCATGATTTAGGCTCAATTTGTCCATACAGAATCGAATCAAAAGATCGACTCTAATGAACTTTTTAATAACCTTACGGTCCTGAACCGAACCTTAAAAAGGTCCGTCCAGGACCAATTTTTTGAATGATTGATGCAACCCTAGAATGGTCAGTAATTATTTAAATTTTTTGTTAAATAAAATAATTAACGGTTAATTATTTAAAATTTAAAATAGTTAACGGTTAATTATTTGAAATTTAAAAAATATTTATAATAATAATTATTTAAATTTAACTAAAAAGTGGATATTAATACTATAGATTTATAATAAAAAAGAATGGAACATACCTTTATTCACAGGGAACGAAATAAAGATATAACCAAATAAAAGCCCAATACATACTATTAAAACAATAGCTTTCAACAAAGAACGCCACCATGGTTTAATAAAAGTAGTATCATCCTCGATCGGACGACCATCCTCTACGTCTCCAATAGAATGATAATTAGTCATAATAGAGCGAATATAACAAATTGAATTATTTATTTAACCCTGAATTATCGGAAAATTTTTGTCAGACTAAGCGAGATTGCCAAGAAAGAAAGTGAACAAACGAAACAAACGAAGAAAGAGATGAGAATTAAAGGGCACAAAAGAATATACGGTATTAATATTTATAGCGATCTTGATGATCAAAATTTCATTTCGCCCCGATAATTTGGTATTAATATATTATAATTGAATACCTTAACCGGTAACCGGTAGTAGAAAACCCGTGTCGTGTGACCTCATGATCAAGTAATATGTATGCTCCCTAGAAAATAAACAACTCGTGACGACATATTGTGACGCATACATCTGACATGTTCTATTGTCTGACAATCGCTGTGTGATTATTTATTACATATTATTAATACTAGTTAGTAATCAAGAAAAAGCATGTGATAACAGTATTTCCTTTTGAAGAATTTAATTGATCGAGTGACCATTAATCTATTACTATTGGCCAATTTTAAAGCAAGTTTAAATGTAAGTATCCCACGAAGTTCAAATGTGATACATATGATGCACTCTTGCATATAAATCAGATTAGTTAGAAATGTACTTATTGTGTAGTTTGAGGCAACGGTTTTTTTCGTATTTTTCAACTTTTTACGTAGTGAATTAATTGAGTTATTAATATCGATACTAATACGTATTTAATTATCGATACGATGAAATGAAATATATATGTTGCTATTTTTGGCTAATCAACATTCCGCGTATATCCGATGCAACATAAGCCTACACATTTCCGGTATAATCTTTTTATTAATCTCTTTGCAGATTTTGGGGGCTGATTTTGATCATGAGGATAACCTGTCACTATTTTATATTCCATAATCAAATTCTTCTAAAATCTAGTTCTGTAGTTGATTATAATTCCTTTATTCGTAAAATAATAAGCTTTTTTTCTTGTACTCCTTATGATTACATATCAGTACATTACATTACTTCACTGCATTAACAAGAATATTTATTTATTTGGATATTCAACATTACATAATTCGATGTCAGAACGAATTAATTCTTTAATTCTTAAACATTTACTAAGGTTACCACTTACTATTTATCGTTATATATACAAACAGTATCGGGTATATATAAGTAAAAATAGTTGTCTATCTGTATTACATATTGCTGTATTGATATTGCTTGCATATGAAAAACATGAATATCTTGGTCATCTACGTTAACATGTCATTTACTATTAAATGTATATCTGTATATACTATTTTTTTACTACGTAGTTTCCATTAACATTATCTATTCATTAATCTATGCATTGATAATTGTTTTAGTTCCTAAAAAGCCCATCCCACACATCTTCAATATTCTTACCAAAACATCCAATCGAAAAGATCGCTAACAATACATTATCGAATACAGTAATACAGAAAAAAATAATCAACGGTGGGATACATAATACAATCGAAGTAATAACGATATAAATACTTCCAATTGCCGAGATTACCATACAGCTTAAAAGGATTGTAAGTGCCAAAATCATTGAAGGAATTGATTGAAAGATCAAGAGGATATAGATTAGCCAGCGAAGAGGTGGAAAATTGTTCCAAAGGTTTGATAGTGAATCTAATATGGTATTTTGATGTTCTGATTTACAATGAGATAACGATTCGTAAAGATCTTGGTGTAAAGGTTGTGTGCCAATCATTTGCAAAAATGCCTTGTAAATTTTGTGTAATTACTATTTCTTTTTTCTCTACAATGAAAATTAATGCATTTTTATAAAATCTTTAAAATTTCTCCAAATTAAATTTCATTCTTCTGATTCGTCCCTTCATCCATCTGATTCATCTTTTTATCAAAATTAAATGCTCATCTGATTCATTCGTTTGTTGATCACCTGATTAATGAGATATATTAGCTATTCAAGTACGTACGTACTTACGTACATATGACGCATGTGCAATGATATCTTAGGTTAGATCTCTAATAATGATAAAAATTCCATTACGTAATCACTATCGATTAATTCGTTATCTTTATATCATGACTTTTTATTAATTAAAAAAAAATTCTTACAGAAACCTGTTTAATAGAAATTCGAGAGATAGAATTCGAAAGACAGAATTCGAAAGACAGAATTCAAGAGATGCTGAACTCTAAAAGTTATTTCTGAAGATTTAATCGGTTGATCTTAAAGTTCAAAATGTCATATTGATACAGCGATAGCTCATTATTATTTATATTTATAATAATGTACATACAGTACCGGTACGAACTGTACAGCAAATAATTTATGGTAAGACTGCACCAAAGTGAAGGCTGATCGACAGATTCACTATGAAATCAAAATCCAATTCATTCATGATTTTGTTGTAGTGTCGACGTACATAATGGACTATGATTCAAAATTTTCGGAAAAAAAAAAATTCGAGCACATTGAATGATTTTTAACCGCATAAAAACTTGCTTCGTAGTGCCGGGCAGAATTATGTTCATCATGGGCCAAAATTTTCTTAATACGACCGGGGTAAAATCGCCACCCAAAAAAGTTTCGAACATCACGGGACAAATCTAGAGCACCAAAAGTTCATGTAACTTGAACAAAAAATTAACAATTTGTTTATTTCGAATAAACAATAACCGTAATATTAGTTACAGCCAGAAAGTACAGTCAACTCTTTCTATAACGAACTGAAGATTTTAGAAAGAAAAAAGTTCGTTATACAAAATTATTATGTTTTCTTAAGAACCATGCACTTTTTTATACCGAACTATATATTATGAAATTTCAAAATTTTGAGTTCATTATATCCAGAGTTCGTTATAGGAAGGTTCATTATACCCAGAGTTGACTGTATTATGATTACGGTTTTTTAAGTATTTGGAATTTTCCATTGCCTTTTAAAATGATTATAATCCTCCTCCAATTTATGCAAAGTCTCAAAGTTTTTATTAATACTATCGAACCATTTGTTACAATTTGTATTCATTATGTTTTCTTCAACAATTTTTTTTTGTTGCGTTCTGGATTCAGAATTATAAAACTTATTGCTCAAATAAATAATCAGAGTTATAGTCTTCCAGAAGAACATTAAAAATAAAATCTACGAGGTTTTCTGGTGCAGCAATCGATGTATATGTTTAGAATATTGCGTTTATTGAATTTTATAACTTTAAAAGAATCACTTGGTTTGTCGAGGTTGCAACGATCGCTTTTCATTTTGAAAAAAAATCACTTACTAAATTTTTTTTTTTTTAATCTTCAAAAGTGAGACCACTTACTAATTAATTAACGTTAATATTTTATAAATATTATTATTATCATGTTTCTAATCATGATGAATTGACAATATCACATGATTTTCGAAACTTTTTTGGGTGGCGATTTTACCCCGGTCGGTCAGAATTTTCTTAATACCGACTAAATTAAATGGCTAAGAAATTTGGGGCGGCTTCAATCTCTATCTTAAATCATTTTCGTAGCTCCAATCCCTATCTTACATCATTTTTGTAAAAAAAAAACAAGGTCATTAAATACCAAAAATGTACTCAAGGGTACTGTACATATATTTTTTAATTATGAATTATTTTTAATTATGAATTATTTTTAATTATGAATTATTTTTTAAGAGATTTACTAACCACCAGCCTGGTTGATTTTATTAAATACCACCCCATTATATATATAAATTATAAAATTAAAGCTCCTGCATTCTAATCATGTAATCAATTTACGATTTGAGAATTATGATGTGAAGATAGATTATACATGTGACAAATCAAAAATTATACAAATTATATAAATTTTAAGTTATTAGCCAATAAAAATTCAAAAAGAATGACAAGTCAAATAATTAGTCATAAGAACAAATCAGTTTATTCATTTAACAAATTACTTGCTGTGTAAAAGTGAGTAGATTATGTGATTTCATAAAGTACAAATCACAAATTATGTGCATATTTTATTGTATTATAATCCTTGATAACTTAATTTAAAGCAATTAGTATATTGACATTAATATTAGATATATATAAAATTTTATCACATTTGCACAATATAATATTATTATTATGTTATATCACAATGCATTAACTATTATTAATACCACTTGATCTAAGTGAACTATACTAATTCCTAAACCATAACTCTAACTACAAAATTAACTTAAATCACCTATTATTAATACTACCCAATATAAGCAAAATTACACTAATGTCCTAATCCTACTAAAAAACTAATCCTAATCAAACCTAATAACTACAGAACTAACCTGAATCAATTATTATTAATACTATCTAATCTAAATGAAACTACATTAATGCTCTAACTCTAACTACAGAACTACTTTAACCAAATCTAATAACTACAGAACTAACTTGAATCATCTATTATCAATACCACACAATTTAAGTAAAACTATATTAATGTTCTAACAGAATCCTAAAGAACTCTTATAACTCAGATATTATTAAAAAAGAAAATTGTGTAGAAATTTATCAAGCATTGTATTTTTATATAGTAAATTTTTTTAATTTTTGGTCTATTTTATACACCTATTTGGCTGATATTATACAACACAAATCTGAGTTGTATTAGAGTTTTTCAGAGTTCTACTCTAACTCTAACTACAGAACTAACTCTAACCAAACCTAATGACTAAATAACAACCATTAATGACAGCAATATTTTGCAACTTTAATAATAATAGTGATATTACAAGCATTTTATTATCTAATAATTATAACACTAATAATAAAATTATTTTATTTTTCAATAGCAATAATACTAATTATAAAAGTATTTTACTACTAAATAATGATGGTACAAATAACAAAAATATTTTTATAATGCACCAAAAAGCGATAAGCAATAATCTAAAAAAAGAAAAATATTAGCTAACAGTACAAAACAAAAACACAAAAAAATATATACCTCTAAAATATTCCAAAAAACTACAAGAAAAACAGTCTTATACAATGAAAAAATGTTAGCTACTATAAAC